CTGTGATGTCTGCACTGGGAGGAAACTGAGAGCCTGTAAGTCCTGCCTCGTGTGTCTGGCCTCTTACTGTGACCAACACCTCCAGCCTCATTATGAATTACCTGTCTTTAAAAAACACAAGCTGGTGGAGCCCTCCAAGAAGCTCCAGGAGAACATCTGCTCTCGTCACGACGAGGTGATGAAGCTGTTCTGCCGCACTGATCAGCAGTGTATCTGTTCTCTCTGCTCTGTGGACGAACACAAAGGCCACGACACAGTGTCAGCTGCAGCAGAAAGGACTGAGAGGCAGAGAGAGCTGGAGGGGAGTCGAATAAACATCCAGCAGAGAATCCAGGACGGAGAGAAGGAGGTGAAGCTGCTTCAGCAGGAGGTGGAGGCCGTCAATGGCTCTGCTGATAAAGCAGTGGAGGACAGTGAGAAGACGTTCACTGAGCTGATCCGTCTCATGGAGAAAAGAAGCTCTGATGTGAAGCAGCAGCTCAGATCCCAGCAGAAGAGAGAAGTGAGTCGAGTCAAAGAGCTTCAGGAGAAGCTGGAGCAGGAGATGGCTGAGCTGAAGAGGAGAGACGCTGAGCTGAAGCTGCTGTCTCACACAGAGGATCACAACCAGTTTCTGCACAGCTACCCCTCACTGTCAGCCCTCAGTGAACCTACACACTCATCCTGCATCAACATCCGTCCTCTGAGATACTTTGAGGACGTGACGGCGGCCCTGTCAGCAGTCAGAGACAAACTACAGGACGTCCTGACAGAGGAATGGACAAACGTCTCACCGACTGAAGTGGAGGTTTTACCGTCAGCAGCAGAGCCCACCACCAGAGCTGGGTTCTTAAAATATTCACATGAGATCACTCTGGATCCAAACACAGCAGAAACACTGCTGGTATTATCTGAGGGGAGCAGAAAAGCAACATACATGAAACAAGACCAGTCTTATTCTAGTCACCCAGACAGATTCATTTATTATCCTCAGGTCCTGAGTAGAGAGAGTCTGACTGGACGTTGTTACTGGGAGGTGGAGAGGAGAGGGGGAGGAGTTCGTGTAGCAGTCGCATACAAGAATATCAGCAGAGCAGGGGTGGAAAGTATATTTGGAAACAATGACAAATCTTGGTCCTTAGATTGTAACCAAAACAGTTATAGATTTTGTTACAACCGTATCAGCACTCCCGTCTCAGGTCCTCAGTCCTCCAGAGTAGGAGTGTACCTGGATCACAGAGCAGGTATTCTGTCCTTCTACAGCGTCTCTGAAACCATGACTCTCCTCCACAGAGTCCAGACCACATTCACTCAGCCGCTACATGCTGGACTTTATCTTTATAATGGAGCCACTGCTGAGTTTTGTAAACTCAAATAGCCTGAAGTCATTGGAGGAACTCTTCTACTTCTTAAAGTCACCGTGTGTCCATCAGAGCTGATTGTCCATGTCTTCACTGTGCAGAGATCAGCTGTCAATCAAACATGATGGGATGTGCTCAACATCTTCTCATGAGTTGTTCTGTAGATGTTGAACTTTCTTCCGGCTCCTTCCTGTGTCTGTGTAGCCATGGAGGCTGTCACTGCTCAGGAGGATCCTTGTTCACCTGAACTGATATGTAAACTTTGCTCTAAATATGTGTTGGATATTTCTTTTGATTCTTGTTGTTGTTTCTCTTGTAATGCACGAGTCTTCAGAGAGAAAGCAGCAGAGCTTCTTTTATTGGACACATTTTATTCTGGCATAAAGACATTTATAATCACATGTATTATTCTGACAGATTAAATGTTATTGTTGCCCAAATTAACTAACAAATGAGTTCCCAGATGGTTATAACACTTATTTCATCATAACATGTTTATTTAAAATGATATTACTTACTGTCATGATCATAATCAATAAGTACATCATTTATTATTCTCCTGTAAATAGCTTAGAGTCTTTGCTTGGGAAATAAAATGTTATTTTTTTGCAGACTAATTGTTGTTGTTGTTGTTGTTGTTATCCAAATAGAAAGTGGGTACTCTGATGTTTTATAGAACATAACTTATCATGATAATAATCAATAAGGAAATCATGTATGATTCTGTTTGAAATAGCTGAGATGAAACACATCCATGGTGTGGATAAAGTGAAACTGATCATGAAATCATTGAACAGACTTTACTGATGGGATGTGTGATCAAATGAAATGTTTGGATGGTCTACCCTACTTTTATAATTTTCTAATCATAAATCTATCGATTCGATTTATGATAGACTTTTGAAACTACAAGAAGATAAGGAGGACTTTTACAAAAATGTAATAGAGATTTTTGTCCAGAAGGATAGGCAAATGGACTTCATCTTCAAGCAGGGGCGGATCTAGAAAAATATCCATGGGGTGGCAAGAGGGTGGCAGGAGAATTTGAGGGGTGGCATCCCCTGGCAGAAGTATATGCTGATTTAATCGCAGTCATATCAATCAATGTTAACTTGGAAAGCCACAATATTTATATTTTAACTCAATAACATTTGGTGACATTATTGTGGCACATCAGTAAAGCCTTACATATAAATATATAAGGTGGCAGACATAATTGAATGAATTTTAACTGAACAATAACTGAATGAGTTTGTCTCACTCTTAGACCACCATTAATTAACTGTCTCGTCGATGTTTGTCTGAATTAATATGATACTATTAACAATCATATTATTCCTATCAGCTGTCAATCACTGTTATTACATTACATTACATGTCACTTGTTAGACGCTTTTATCCGAAGCGACTTACATACTCAATACTGTGGGCAATCCCCACAGGAGCAATTTGGGGTGAAGTGTCTTGCCCAGGGACACAACGACATGCTGACTGCAGTGGGGTTTGAACCTGTGACCATCTGATCCGAACACCAACGCACGTAAATCAAAGTGGTTACTTTTTTTTGGCTGGGCAGTGAAGTTTTACACACCGTCTTATTTGACTTTCTCAGGACTTGAAACTGTTTTTTGGGGGCAGACCCGATGAGCCACAACTTTTCAAAGCTGCCAACTGGGGTGGCAACTAGGGTGGCAAGGCATTTTTCTGAGCTGGCAGCTGCCACCCCGTGCCACCCCGTAGAACCGCCACTGCATGTTCTTAATAAATGGATTAAAAACGTATTTTCATTTAATTTGTTATTAGCTAATCTTTCTGCAGAGGAAAAACACAGGTTTGTGACCATTTTGATGCGACAATTATACACTTTTCGTACATATTTAATTAATATAAATAGGTTATAATTGGTTATCTTAACATCAGAATCTACTTTAGGGAAGATAACGTTGATTTCTCAGCTTAAAACAATCAAGAGAACTGAAGCCTAAGCTAAGCAAGTTAGCTTAATCTGGCTAATGCTAGCTATTTCTTGTTAGGGAATAATTTGCTTAGGTATTCAACCTTTGACACAGTTCATCGTTTTCTCCTCTCACGGTCTCCTTTCCCATGGCATAGGTCTACGGCCTTGTATTGCTGCTATCTGGAGGGGCAGCTTGGGCGCATTGTTGTCAGTTTATGACCGAGCATAAGCTGCCATGAGGTAGTTTATTGTTCAGGGACATCTAGAAGCCTTTCTTTTTAGGAACGTGGGTTCCCTGGCGCACATTGTTTTCTATGGACGACAGCTCTAGTTAGATTCAGGGTCCATATTTGTTTAGTCTCGCTAATAAAGAATGTTGATTATTACACTCTGAACTAGTTACAACCTGGAGCTACAGAAGAGTTCTTCAGAATTGATTTGGCAGCTCTACCGTGTGGTCAACTCGTGGCCAGTGACATGTCTTGTGAATTCTCCGGTCGAAGCTCCAAATAAACCGTCAGTGTTTGCCATCAAAGCTCCAGCTCTCCTCGTGTCTCCTTGAGTCCTGACTGCCAAATGCTTCCCCCCACAGTTATCATCTATATATACCTCACATATCATATAAAAGATATCATTTGCAGATTTAATTCACTTAATCTTTGCCCAAATGTCAGGTTATATTGTGGTGTAAGTAACTGTACCAGAATAATGACAATGGTTGAGCACATGTGCAAGTCCTTTAATCACAACATATAATAAATGCAGCTCTATGTTCAATACAAAATAAAGTGTGGTGTAAGACGTGCCGTTTGTTCTTCACCAAAAAAGCACAACCAGGAGGAAATCGCATCTCATCAATTCAGAAAAAAAGCTATTTCATGGTTTATTATATTTAAATAACACACAATCATGTCTAGGTTTGTAAAGTGGAGTGCAAAAACTTAAACATAAACAACAACGGAGTGACGGTGAGGTAAGTTAACACCACTTTCAATTAGAGAACACATTAGTGGAGATTTGTTTTGCCACATGATTAATAAAAAAACACCTTTTAATTTCTCCATAATCCACGACACCAACACACGAGATGTTTTACCCCATTAAAGTGAATGAAGCTGTCACATTCATTTTGATGTAAATCCAATATCCAGACAGAGTCCCATAAACAAACTGTTGCATTAGCATTTGACGTCACACTTTAGGGCTTTAATTACCTGAGACTCTCAAATTACTTCCTGTTTTCCCTGTTGATGAAATGCAGTTTTGCATTGATGAAGTATTTTTACAGGACGACACGGAAGTTAGCATTCCCAGGGATTCCTCGACAAAAAGCCAACGGGATTTTTTAATTGGTTTTCAATAAAAAGCAAAAAATACCCTCTGTGGTTAACACACGTTTATGATACTTAGACGTTTTGTTCAGCAATAGAATCTGCTAGAAACTCTAAAGGAACTACATCACGGTCACATGACTTCACCGCTAAGCTAAAGGTGGCTAATGTTGGACTATACAGGAACTACAGCACGGTCACATGACTTCACGTAGCAACCGCTAAGCTAAAGGTGGCTAATGTTGGGCTATACAGGAACTACAGCACGGTCACATGACTTCACGTAGCAACCGCTAAGCTAAAGGCGGCTAATGTTGGGCTATACAGGAACTACAGCACGGTCACATGACTTCACCTCACGAGCGCTAAGCTAAAGGTGGCTAATGTTGGGCGTGATGATCTTTAGTCGTCTCATTTAGACACTTGTTAGCAACTGCCATGTTTACATTCACCAGTGGGGTATAACTGACGTATTTTATGTCATAGAACAAAACGTTGTGTTAACCACAGACCTTATTTCAGGCTTAAAAAACAAAAACACATTCAGAAAAACCATTGACTTCCACACAAGGGAATCGGACGTATTTCCGTGTTTTAGGACTCTTTCCTGCACCACTCTATAAGAATAAAAAGTAACAATGAGGTAAGTAAAGGATTTAGATGGAGATGAAACTGGTGATGAGGATTCAACAGGACGAATAAATTAAGAGGAAGTCCCGCCTCTTCCAAGTGTCACTCATGTGATCTTATTTCTGGAAAAAATAAGAGATAAAGCGTTGTGTGGCCCTTTAAATAACGCCCGCCACTGTCTTATACCAATCTTTTAAATTGACCAAAACATGTCTAATTCATGGCAAAATATTTGTGTCTTTCGTCGTTGACTCCAAAATAAAATCCCATCATGGTCCATCGGAAGCGACTGACTTTCTAAAAAGGATAAATTAAATGTTCTCATCATCAGTCCTGGATGGATTATAAGCACAAGTACATTTCCTATCCTGTCATGATTCCCACATTTTATTTACAAGTCTCATACTCTCACAGTTTGAGATTTCCTTAGCTCCAATGTCAGTCGTTAAAATTCCACAATAAAATGAATTTAGACTCATCTGCTCAGCGAAGGTGGATATAAAAATAAATTCAATATGGATTATTATCATCCCAGCCTTCGAGTGGTATTGATAAGACCGGAGAAACTGAGAAAGATAGAAGCTGTGAGTCCTTGGTCTGAAGCGTCCTGTCGCTACGACGATGAGCTGAGGAAGAGGAAGATAAAACTCATCCTCACTGTCCATCAACTCTCCTTATAGATCAACAGGATATCTTCATCTGTCCCATAGCTCCGCCGAGCCTCCTCAAAAATACTGACGCTGGTGCAGCACACGCCTGAAAACACAAAAAGGTCAGTTTTTTGTATTTTTTCTTAATCTTGTGTCAAATGCAATTGTAAGTAAAACAAAAGAGGCACAAAATACAAATATGAACCTGAAAATGTGCTTTTTTTGTCTATTTCTTTTCAGTTTATGTCGATATTATGTTGTTTTAGTCAACTGATTATATAAGTAAAATCCAGGGAAATTTTTTCTATTTTATAACATATTTCACATGCAATTGTATTCTATCATTACCTAATAAAAACACAGGTTAATTACGCCAAGTATTGGAGGAAAGGGGATGTACTGAAGATATTTAATATGACGTTCAAGAAGAAATAACAAAAATACATCTTCTGTTAAAATGTACAGTTAAAAACTAACATTCTTTAAAAGCTTTGTTGTAAAAATGCTGCTTTAATTGGATAAAAAGTCAATTAATGGCAGCTTTTTTTTAGCCATTTAACAGCTTTTTTTGTACACATTATACAAATCAGTTTGGTCTGTTTTTCCCTGTAGCCAATCGATACTGTGACTTCATTTTTGTACAAATTCAGTGATGCCACATTCAGCGAGGGTTTACTCACGGTCAGAGTACGCCGGGTTGTTGTAGAAAACGCAGCCGGTGGTCCTGTTGTAGCCGCACACCACCACGAAGTGCCCCTGGTACTCTGGCTTCCTGCAGAAACACTTCTGTCCCACGGGCAGGAAGCAGCAGTATTTGACGGGCGAGGAGCAGAGGTCACAGGTCAACACCACGGCGTTCACCAGGACGATCGCCACGTGGCCCTGCTCCAGGTGAGACTGGATCTCCTGAAGCGGCACAGAGCTGCGGGGAAACACAATCCGACAATCAGAATATTCCCCCCTCAAGGTTTCAAGGCTTTTATTGTCATGTGTGCATAGCTACAGTGTAGTTATGACAATACAAATATTAGGCTCCTCCAACAGTGCAACACAATAAAACAGATAAAATAGGATATAAAAATAACTTCAATATGGATTTATTGAATTGGAATCCATCGATCTGATTGCTTATTAGCGGAGCAAATGATCAAAGTAGTACGGAGGGAACATATTTTCGTTTGGATTACTGGCCTGGGGGAAGCTCGCGAGTGTGTGTGTGTGTACAGTAGGTCTATGTGTGTGTGTTTGTGTAATTTTGCATTTGTGTGTATTGTGTTCGTTTCCCGGGGAAAACACTCACGAGAAACACCGGGTGTTCTTATGCCTGCTGTGACGTCAAGTTACTCCGCTTGTAATTATGCCGTTACAAGCTTCAAAGTTGTATTTATCATCTGAATTTGCAGAAACAAGTTCAATATTCTGAAAGCCAAGACTTTGTTTATTTGAAATCAGATGGCAGGTTCCGTGACAGTTTGTTTTCACCTGGGATTTGAAATCAGATGAAAACAAACTGTCACGGAAGGTTCCGTGACAGTTTGTTTTCATCTGATTTCAAATCCCAGCGTGGGAGGCGATGAAAACAAACTGTCACGGAACCTGCCTTGATATCTATGATTACTATACGCCTTACATTCATAATGTCAGCCGGAGGGAGGGGAAGCTGCGCTGCGGAACAGCCGAGTGGCGAGTGAGAGCTGTCACCTTCCCTTTACAAGCTTCAAAAATGTATTTATCGTGTGATGTTGGAAATAAAAGTTTCATATTCTGAAAGCCAAGACTTTGTTTATTTAAAATCAAACAAAACACCCGAACCCCGAAAAACTAGTTTTTTACGCAAATCCACGTTTATTTTGAAATGAGCCCTTTATGGATATTAAAAGAAGGCATGTCTCATCTTCATATGCTTTCTTTCTTTTTGTCAGGAGATGGCAGCAAAGTCCCTCCAGAGATGTTAACAAATACAAAGACCTTTTTTGAGGGTAGAGAATAATATTATCAATGTCAAAAGTGTCAGTTTTGATAAATGTTTTCCTGCTGTAATCACTTTTATTACAGCTGTTTTGATTCTTTCTTTCCCACTTTGGGGAAATGTACATTTGTTACAGCAAGAAAAGAGACAAAGACAGCTTAATTAAGAAGTTAACTAAGAAGTATGCATAAAACACAAATTACACAATTTACAAAATACACATCCTGTAACAGTTCTGAGGATTTAGCAGCCAGGTATAGATAGCACAGTTATTAACGGCATATATATATATATATATATTGCACATATTGCACATTGTTGGTATTTAACAACAAGGGGTGTTATAGAAACATCCACAGACACATCCAGGTGTGAGGTGTACTTTGTCTGAGGGTTGTCAGATATGTCTATATTATAACGATAGTATATGAGACAAGATTTCGTGTTAGATTTTAGATATCGTAGTTGAAATAAGTGTGTTTAAGGCTGCATAACGGGAAGCAACGATTACACTGAAAAATATATACAGAGAAAGTAAGTTATTGTAGACACCTGTGGGCTGATGCTATATAATAATAATAATAATAAACATTTCACAGTACGTAGATTGCATTTAAACCTATTAGTTAAACCATGGCTTAGTTGAATACTCGATTCTGATTGGTCAATTCGGACATTTCAGAGGTCAATATGACAGTAGGACAGACCGCTGTGAAGCACCATAATGACTAAGGAGGGTGAAGAGAGGGAAAGAGGTTAAAAGGAACCTGGACGTTTCATTTAAATTAATATCGGGAGTCAAGTCGGTAGTGTGTTTCGTGTGTGGCCGTGTGATAAGGGTCGGGCTGCAACCAACGACTCATTTATTAATCGATTAATCTATCGATTAATGAAACGATTAATCGACTATTCGGACTATTATCCGCTCTTATTTAGCCATCAACTTTTAGATTTAGCTTGAGGTTGTTTTAGGCATGTGGAAACTAACACTGAAGACAATATAGATGAATACTTGATTCAAAAAGACATACAAATTGCTCGTGTTACCGCCCTTACATGCTAAACTCTTATTGCATTTTTGGCAACGAGCATTATCCACCTCAAGACATTTAACCACACCTTGGAGCGCTTAGTTCTCTCCGCCATCTCCGCCGTGTGTGTGTTGCATGCATGTTGCAGAGCGTGTGTGTGTTGCTGCATGTAGCAGCCGCATGTGTGTAAACTGCCCCGCCCCCTCACACACAGACGGGGGAGAGAGATCTCATTCGGATTGGAAAGATCGAAAATACATCACAGACGCATTTTTTTGTCTTATTGCATATTAGAAACGAGTTGGCGAAACTAAGACTGTGATATAATGTTTATTTAGCAATAACACATATGACATATATGTTTTAAATGTCTCCAGTACCGATAAAAAGACCGATAACGTTGGAGCTTAACGGCGCGTAAAACACACGTGATGACGTCACCAACGAATCGACGACTGAATTAGTTGGCAACTCATTTGGTGATCTAATTTAATCGATTAAGTCGATTAGTTGTTGCACCCCTAGATAAGGGATGTTCTTTTTCCAGTAATGACCGCCTCGCTACACATTATCCTTTACTTAATGTCTATGCCTACATAGATGTATGTATGTAGATAAAGAAGCTACAATGTTAGCATATTTAGCCCTGATTGATGCAAACGCCATTTCAAAAACACGCATTTGAAAAGTTGTTTGCTTGACTTTTTTTGCATACGATCCTGACACAGCATGAATACAGACTTTTCTCAAACTTGGCACTAAGATGCTATCATGTCAGCCTTGTTTTGATGAGTTTATTGATATTAAATCTCAGCTGAATATGTTCATTTTTGTTAAAACCAGTGCAGGAAACCAGATATGGCGGCATGAATGATTGCCACAGATGTTCTGTCAGCACGAGGCAATATTTGGTGGCTTTGTCTGAGTAAATAACGTTATACAGACAACTCACCATTTCTTCACCGTGACACCTTTGCTCTCCGCTTTAAGGAAAAGCTCATTCACTCGGTCTTCTTCTGTATCAAAGTGTTTCTTATAGAAGGTCTGCAAACCATCCAAAAGACAACAGAGACATTAATCACACACAAAGAACGATAAACTTCTGAATGTGGTTTAAGGGCATGACTGATAGATAAGACCAGAGGTGGAAGAAGTGGAGTACAAATACTTCGTTACTGAACTTAAGTACATTGTTCTGGTATCAGTACTTTACTCCACTACTTATTTTTCTGACGACTTTTTACTTTGACTTCTTACATTTTGAACACAAATACCTGTACTTTCTACTTCTTACATTTTGAACACAAATACCTGTACTTTCTACTTCTTACATGTTGAACACAAATCCCTGTACTTTCTACTTCTTACATGTTGAACACAAATACCTGTACTTTCTACTTCTTACATGTTGAACCCAAATACCTGTACTTTCTACTTCTTACATTTTGAACCCAAATACCTGTACTTTCTACTTCTTACATTTTGAACACAAATACCTGTACTTTCTACTTCTTACATTTTGAACACAAATACCTGTACTTTCTACTTCTTACATGTTGAACCCAAATACCTGTACTTTCTACTTCTTACATGTTGAACACAAATACCTGTACTTTCTACTTCTTACATGTTGAACCCAAATACCTGTACTTTCTACTTCTTACATGTTGAACCCAAATACCTGTACTTTCTACTTCTTACATTTTGAACCCAAATACCTGTACTTTCTACTTCTTACATGTTGAACCCAAATACCTGTACTTTCTACTTCTTACATTTTGAACCCAAATACCTGTACTTTCTACTTCTTACATGTTGAACACAAATACCTGTACTTTCTACTTCTTACATTGTGAACACAAATACCTGTACTTTCTACTTCTTACATTTCCCAAACAGGCTGGTTCCTTTAGTTTGAATGTGTGTTTGGTGGCGTGATCATTATTATTTAGAGTCATTGCGTGCCTATTGATTTGAACACGATCCGTGTATCCATCATTTCCTGGTCTTCTCTAAAGAAGAGGGAATGAAAACGTTGTCATGTTGCCGTTGTTCAGCATGGAAACATTCATTAGCTAACAATGACATTATTGTTCTATTCATATAAAGGGAGGTCAGGTACTCTTTAAAACAGCTGCTAGTTATGGGTACTTTTTACTGAAGTACATTTCAAAGCCCTCTTTACTTTTACTTGAGTAAAGAAGTTTAGTCAGTACTTCTACTTTTACCAGAGTATTTTTAAACACGAGTATCTGTACTTCTACTTGAGTAAAGGATGTGTGTACTTTTGCCATCTCTGGATAGGACTAACCTGATTCCTAAAGCCTTTATCAACACCCAGAGTCTGCGTGCAAAAGCAGTGTTTGATTCCTAGATGGCACATGAGGTAGGCCAGGTCGATAGTCCACACACTCTCCGTCAGCTTCAGCTCCCAGCATGCTCTCTGGAACTCCTCGTCACTGAGTGGGTGCAGGTACCTGCAAGATTGGACAGTTAAATTAAATTAAAATGTATTTATATAGCCAAATATCACAAATCACATTTGTCTTCACAAATCAACAAACATGAATGATAATGTAAAAACAACAAACATATCTGAGAATATAGTAAAATGACTAGATAAATGTGAAAACACCAATGAATGGGTACAAAACACAATGACACAAATACAGTTAGAATACAATATGTACAATGTTTAAAGTTGCATGCATGTAATGACCACATCTAAAGCTCAGAGGCCGTCAGAGGCAGTCGGGCATTCGCGGCGCCCTACTCAGGTTGGTGTGTCCCGCACCGTCGTCTCTTTACGGCACCTTTTCACACCTCCCGCGGCCGATTCAACATGTTGAATCGGCCGCGGGAGGTCAGAGAAAGTCGGCCCAAGCAATCACTCTGATTGGCTGTTCACACTACCGCTGCCTGCTGGTAAGGACAGTTATTGCCACTCATCGACTGAAGTATTTGCGGTGTGTTCGTAGGCGGGAGGCGTAGCGGGCGGCGTAGCGGGCGGCGTAGCCGACGCAGGCGACGAAGCTGACGTAAAAGTCGGGACGCCTTCGGTACGCGTTCTTTGGTCTCAGGTGGGTGTGTAGCGGCCTTTAGTCTAATTAGAGACATTCAATCATTTTGATTCATGCCTCACACAGGAAGGATTCTTTTTAAAACAAAAAACATTTTAGCCTCAGATCTTTCTCAAAAATGAACAACATATATAATAAAACCAAACTTTTTTTATCACGCATTACACCTTGTTTTTGTGTAAGTGTGTTTCAATCTTAATTCAAGGTATTTTGAATCACTTTTAAATAAAGATTGACAGTAATCGGTGTTGACTACGTTTGCTAGGTTTACGCTGACTTGTTTATTGGCAGTTTAAAGCATTAGTAACAATATGTATGAAGTTACATAACTTTGTTGAGGTTATTAAATAGTCACGTTACTTATTACTTCAACAGGGTAACTAGTAATCTTTAGCATTTTACATTGAAAAACAACAACCTTTCCAACACGGCCTTAATCTGACCTTTCTGATGTCAAGACAGTGGGATCAGGTTTCTTAAAACGAGAAGTTAAAGTGTTTTTTGACTTAATGTTGACTGTAATTATTAAGAACACCATTGTCTTTCTTAATACTGTGAGCCATGTTCATGCTCAACTCTCCGACTGCTTTTTGCACAGCCCTCCACATTAAAATATAATACTCTGTAGTTTGCCATATATTCATTCTCCTAAGTGTTTTTTAGCTTTTAGGTTATTTGTATAGTTACATTTCACAGACTATAACACTCCTTGTTGTTAACCACCAACTATGGGTTAGGCATAGTTGGTGCATGCTACTTAGGTAACATGTGGCTCTTTTCTGCTGTAACAATGTACATTTCCCCTCTTTGGGAATAATAAAGGTATTCTGATTTAAATTTGGTGTAAATACTTGTCTTTAACATCCTTTTTTAATGCTAAATGGTTTGTTTCTTAAAAAAATACTTTTTTTTTTTACTTATATATTTATTTTTTGAGATTGTTTATGTTCACACCACCAGATACCAAAGCAAATTCCTTGTATGTGTAAACGTACCTGGCACTAAACTTGATTCTGATTCTGATAATGTCATATAATGCAAACAAATATTGAATATAACTCTTCTGAGCACTTACTTCAGCACCATCCTGGAGCAGGCTAAGCCACAGTCCCAGTGGTACAGCTGCCGAATGACAGGAACGTTCAACAAGACGGCATCCTCTGAGAAAACCACAGGTGGAGTTATTAGTTCAAAACTGTTCATGGACAATGGTGAAAATGCACAGTACAATTTTTTTTACAAAAGACAGAATGGAGACACCCTGATAAGCTATCTGGAGCGTGATAGTTTGGGTTCAAACACCAATAAGATGTACTGTTTCGTAACACGTCTACAAGTGGAAAGAGTTCAAGTATTAAGCAGTAACATTTACAGCCAACAAAACTTCTAACACTAACTCAAGACTCTAGTTGGGCCATTATTCAACTGTGTGATACTGATATGATTGTATAAATACACTACTTAGTTACTTCCCACTTCGGTCAAAACATGTTGAGTATATCCATTGTATGCTACCTTGTACTTCTACTCCACTACAATTAATACCTTTAGGTACTTTACAGATGTGGATGAATGATGTGAAATATAATCAAGTGTTAAATCAGACTTTAGTTCCACCTGGAGTAAATTCACAAGCTACCCTGCAGTATACAAAGTCATTCAAACTAGCTGCACCTTTACCAGCTTTGAGAACACTTTCATGATCAATCATTATAAAACATATCATATATATTATTCTGAAATGGACCAATCTGCACAATGACTACTTTTACTGTAAGTACTTTAACTATATTTTGATGATAATACTTTTCTACTTTTACTTGAGGAACATTTTGAATGCAGGACTTTTACTGTAACAGAGTATTCCTACACTCTGGTACTTCTACTTTTACTCAAGTACAAGATCTGAGTACTTCTACTTTAACTCAAGTACAAGATCTGAGTACTTCTACTTTTACTCAAGTAAAGATCTGAGTACTTCTCTTACCTCTAGTCAACAGTCCATATACGCCCATAGCTTTGACAGTTTTCATTAGTAACTGCTGCCTTTAAAACGCATTTATCTATCCAAGTTTATATTAAAATATGTTGCCATCACTCACCTGTCATTCTGTTGTATTCTGTCTTTAATTGGGCTAATTAAAGACCAGCTGGAGCGTCTTGTTTACAGCATGTTAGGGTTGGGTTTCTTCTCCATGGATGCTAACTAGCAGCTAACCGGCTAACAGTTATAAGTAGTCCTTTAGCAGGTTAGCTGCGAGGCTAGCTCCTCGTCTCACACCACCGCAGCACCATACAGTTGTTAGTTAACTCAACAAGTAAGGGATGAAAGTAAGGAAAGTCATTTTTAGTACGTTTTTATGGTGGCGGCTCTAGCTAAGACAGGCTATGCTTCACTTCGCTGTTTGTTAGCTAGCATACTGGCTGAGAAGCTTCTTCTTCGTCGAATTAATTTGGCGAAAACGATTTGGTGTATTAGCGCCACCTGCTGGACTGGAAGGTAAAGCAATGATGGCAGGAAATAACAAAATATAGAAAAAAAATAATTAATTAATAAATCAAATCAAAAGCTTGTTGGCACGAAATAATAATAATAATAGCTAAAAAAAAATCTAATATATATATAAAAAAAAGAAACCAAAACACAAACAAATAAATCGCAAATAAAATATAGTAAATTTAATAAAGAAACAGAATAACAACAAAAAATGCGGGACTTGACCGGCAGCCAGTGGAGGTGGATGAGGGTGGGAGTGATTCCTGTTCCACGAAAAATTCATATTCTGCTAAACTGTTTGAAAAAAGCGGACTATTATGTATGTTTCTGCCACGTGTTATATAGCTAATATTAATTAAACTTTTACATTTCAATATAGTGTAAAACTGAACACGCGTGTAGTAAAGTTTCCAAAATATTTAAAATTACGTGACATTTATTTTCAACAAAGTTCTATTTTGAAAGTCATAATGAAATTGTTTGTGTACATTGCTGTGACTTTCAGAGGCATATCTCACTGACAGCTGGCACATATTTTCAACAGAAAATCTTGTTCAAGAGCGCTCTCTAGTGTTAAAAGACCAACACAAATATCTCCATCAATTTACAAGTTTATACAATTATAAACCCATAGATTATATATGTGTTTACTGTCAAATAAGCACCTCTTATGTAAATGTTAAACATGACTATTTAAAGCCAGTGAATGAAAGAACCACACCTTGTTTTGGGGTCAGATCGTTTATTCAGCTTTAGACAGTTAAACATCCAGTTAAAACTCCATAAAGGTAAATATGACAAAAATAGTGATACACATATTATAACCATCACCACATTTCAACCATTACGTAACATATTTATGAAAAGCAAAACATTATAGATTTGTCGTTTTATATATTTTTTGACAATTCAAATGAAGATTACAAGTTTCACACTTTAAGAGGATAAATAAACATGTACTATATGAATAACTCCTACAACAAAAACATATAATAAAGTAATTCAGATGTTCACAGAGACAAAAACATGTTAAATGTAGTGTCGCCCCTTTTTCTCAATTTCTAATCCTCAATTAGTAATCCGTTAGTAATTTAGTTTCTCCCTTCTTCAGGTTGTGATTTCTATATTTGAACTAGAGCCATTCAATAAACCCAGAGAGCAGATACATATTAGAGAAGAGTAAGCTTGTTGCAGTAAATATACCAATGGGTTTACTTAACACAGATGAAATTAAACTTTTCATTGTCAGCCTTTTTGTACCACTTTCCATCTGTCTCCATGGCTGTAGCCCTGTCACAACCCTCAGTCTTTTCTTGTTGGGCCCAGTTGTGATAGCAGACCAGACGATCACTGACCCAGAACCACAGATCCAGAGTGCAGGTGTAGCGCATTCCCAGCCAGACGAACTCAGTGTCGGCCATCTTGGCTTTCTTTTCGACCCATCTCTGCTGGTGACTGTCAGTGATGGAGACCAGGTCACTGTGGTTCGCTCTGCAGTAATCCAAGGCCTCATCCCAAGTCTTACTCTCATTGATCAGGATCACTTTGTCTGTAATTGAAATGGATATTTTTCTAAACGTAGATTAACCATTTATTGAAAAACAACTCTGAATTTCAATAACATAGCACCATGTAATCATCATTTGTTGTTGTAATTAATACAAGTCTCTAAAAGGGTTAGAGGTTAGTTATAAAAAAATATATATATAGAAACAAAATGAAAACCAATGATAAAGGAAATTAAGGCAACAAATCACGTGGCACATTTTGTAAAAGCCAGGATAAAAAGATGTGAGGACAAAAACATGACCGAATGAAATTCATTACTTTCTGCTGTTTCAGGGTTTTATAATTTTCAGTAGAATAAGCTATCATCTATATTAAGAATAATCATCAAATCCAGATCTGTAATTTCATGTATATTATGAATATTTTCTCCACTAAAGGATATTCAACATACATATACAAACATTTAAATAAAGACAAGAAGATAAGGTTCAAGGTTCAAGGTTCAAGTTCAAGGTTCTTTATTGTCAATCTGACATAGCTACAGAGTAATTATGTAGTTGAAAATCTTATGTCACAGGCTTCTCCAACAATGCAACATAATAACATAATAACAATAAGAGCAAAAGCAATACAAAAAGAAAAATAGTTATAAAATAAAGTGATGATGTGGAATAGTGCAGTACGAGTCTATATACAAGTTATTGGAATGATATATATATATTAGGTATTAGATACATATTATTGAGTAGCAGATGAATGTTTACTAAAATACTTTCAATGACTTTTGCAAAACTCACCGTCATAGCAGTAGAAGGGTTTTTTAACTGTGCATTTGTCTGAATTCCATTTTCCATTTTTCGTAGTCATAGCACATGTCTTTAAGGCTTCGTCTTTAAATAAGACCGGATCCCAGTGTCTGAAAGAGACATTCTTCCCATCTGACCAACTCCAGGTGTCTCTGAACAGGCCGATCCACAGGTGGTTGTGGTTGAATTCTTTGGTAATGCTCTTGAATTCTTCTGATCTGATCTCTGTGAGTCCACTGACCAGGTCAGTGTGATGTTTTCTGCAGTGACTCTGAGCCTGAAGCCAGTACTTTGGATCAACAATTAAAAAGTATTTCTGTGGCACTGTTTCTGTGAGAATGAAAAGACACATTTTACAAGTTTTTAAATCATTTTCTCTTAGTTAAATCATGTTAAAAAAAGAATATAAAAAAAATATGAACACAATCTCACTTAAGTTTCAGATTGATGAAAGTGTTTGGTATAATAATGTAGATTGCATAATCAAAAAATATGCCTATGCTCTACCATTACAATGTATTCAAACAAGTAGAATTGTATCATCAAAGTTACCAATGATGTTATGTTAAAAGTAAAAAGCAACATTTTCTTTCATTAAATGTAATACAGTGTACAACATGAGTTATCTGTCAACTATTTTTACACAGTATGATATCATTTATATAGCATTAATAGTGACATATACTCACCATTGTAGCAGATAAAGTTAAGTCTGTGAGAACAACGGACATTGTGCCATTTTTGGGAGAGTTTAATCTTCACACAGTTCTTAGGATGGTTACCTCCATTGTTCGGCTCATCTGGACCCCATTCTGGTTCACATTCTGTAGGATTGTACTTCTCTCCCGGCAGAGACCAGTGCCACTCTTTAATATCTGCTTCATTGATGCTCCTCAGTCCAATCCAGGCGCCTGTCTGTGGAGGGTTAGTCAGTCTCTCCACGTCTCTCATGTTAGACACTGTGGCCAGGTCAGTGTATTTCTCTGTGCAATAACTCTGGGCATCATCCCAGGACCTATTTTCTTGAATGAAGTGGTACTCATAGAGGTGACATGTGAAGAAGGAACACTGACCTAAAAATAAAAATAAAGTAAATTCTGCAGTGATGGAGCTGACAGTATGACAAGCATCTGATCATTAAATCAAACTCATGAGTACTAAAATCACCCCCACCTCTTACATCATCCCCTTCATCTTAATGGAGCTCTGAGTTCACTTATTTAACTTTTTATTGTTAGGAAGAGTGAGCTGTTTCATGACTCCAGATGTGATTTTAATAAAATATCCACTTACCCATCAGAATGAGCACAAACAGACTCCACTGCATATTTGCTCTGTTATGTGAAACAACAAATGAGGGAGCAAATCTGTAGCGGAAAAATGCAAATGTTGAGCATCAACAGCACCAACAGGCTCACATTGTGAAATGTCTTTTTTTTTTGCACATGAAAATATCTATTTTGAATAAAACACAAATAATGTGATGCATCAAACGTCAACAGTAACTATAACACCTTTACAATAGAGTGCAATGCAATGATGACATTTTTTTGTCTTTGTGTGGAGTTTATAATATTTATAATCTGCTGGTTCGATAATAATATTTTATTATTTTGGATATTCACCTTTCAATGTTCTGCTACTTTTAAACGTTTCAGGAGTGGGTTAGACTTGATGGGTTATTTAACCAGAATGGAAAGAAAACTTTGAGAATAATGAATAATTACATTTCCCATTGTTCCTTTTATAAGCACAACTTTAGAGTTTGCATTCTTTTCTTTGTGTAACGGGTGAACTATCCCTAATAAAAAAAAAAATGTTGTCATTTAACTGAGAATCAGATGGCTGTGTTTACACATAGCAATTCAAATGTAAGATTAACCATTCAGGTTATTTTATTAAACATGAACATAGTGGGGGTCTGCAGAACAGGCTGCATCCATCACTTTTTATAAAGTACCTGATTTCATGGTTAGTCAGGCAAATAAATAAGACTAATTCCCATCTGATAACTAGAATATGTGAAATATATGTTGAGGAAAATATTGCACTCTGCACACACAATAAACAATATATGAAAGTGACTGAACAGAATCACACTTACTTCTCCTGAGTCGTCCTGTCAGCTGCTTCTCTCTCTGTCTCTCTCGATGTGCTGGTGAAGACTCAGATAACGACGAGGTCGCTGCTCTCTTTGAGCCACCTTTGGGCAAACATTTGAATATTCAAATTCAGATGTCAAACAGGTCTATCATGGTGGATACAGTATCCATTGATGGAAAGAATATCATTTACATGTAACAGGGAAACAAGTTGAACAGACTTCCTTGTTGACACAAGGAAAGAAAGGTACCATTCCAAAATATCCACTAATGATAACTATTGAATGTTTATATTTTTAATATTTGTGTAAGGATATTGCTTGTTACCATATGTCAAACAGCTTTAAGAGAACATTCTGGCTGTTTTTGAGCACCTCATATTATAAGTGTGTCAATATTATTTTTGTTTCATTCACATCGTTTCTTTATTCTGAAACAGCCAACAAGTCAAAAACATTATCTCTTTGTTGTCTCTATTCTTATGAGTCTGTCCATCCAGTTATTTCATTCCTGTGAATGCTATACCTCAGGAGAACGTGAGGAATTAATTCAAGTCTTGCACAATCTTCCACTTGGACTCAAGGATGAATCGATTTCTGTCCCATTTTTTACGTTTGATTGTGGTCAAAAGGCCATAAGTCTCTGTGACCTCACAAAACCCAATGGTGTGGCCGGAACAAGAATTCTTATGTTAACTATAACAGTGTCACTCAACTTTTTGAGGAGCTTGACGCTCGTGAGGAGGGCGGGGGGGCCTCGCTGCGGGGAAGCAGTGTGTGGACCTGTCAGCGCAACTTACATGATGCCGAATTTAACAAACACATTTAAATAATTGGTTTAAACGGCATAATAATAAGGACGATCGTCCGTTCTGTGATTCTCCAGAACACACATGTTATGATATTAGGGTCATGCAGAGTGAGATGAGATCGCTGTCCCTTTAAGAGAGAGAGAGAGTGAGCGAGCGTGTGTATGTTTCTGGAAGTGATACGAGGCAGTAGGAAAACAGAGGTCTGTGATGTATTTTGTGAAACAGAAGAACAGCTAAATAAATGCAACGGCCTCCCAAGAAGAGCTCGCCTCTCTCCAGTCATTTAAGCTGGGTTATTGAACCTGAAGCTTGTTGCTTCTGCCCTCCTCGACTACGGTCAGTCCGCCCCTTTGTAGCATATTATTTCAATGAGAGATGAGCAGATCGCCACTGGGCTTTCAACTAAAGACACAGCCACGCAAAAACTGCGGTATTTGTACAGCTCCTTATGCGTACTGCAATTTGTGAAGTGCTTTCCTCCGTGGTGAAACGATCAGCACTGCACCACGGAGGAAAGCGGCAGAAAGTCACCTGGAGTTAAAGAGAGCGGGGCTGCGTTGCGTGCACGGCTTCCTTCTGCAGGTAACGGGGAGACGCGCTCTGGCGGCGGTCTCGTTCAGGATCCGAAAATACAATTTAAATATTTTGCACACTTATTCCACTTATTCCTAGTGTGCCACTGGTTACGGTGCTGCGTGCCAATGCTGGCACGCGTGCCAGGGGTTGCCGACCCCTGCTGTAGACACTAATTAGAATAAATAAGACTAAAACAGAGAGACTAACTTATGGCAACACAAAATAAAACATGGGAGCGGTGGAGATGAGGAGGTGTCGGCGTTCTGGGGATTTACTCGGAAGGCTTCAGTAGAAGCTGCTGGGAGTCCCAGCAGCTTCTACTGAAGCCAGTCCCCAACTCCGGGGACTTCCGGCCGGGGACTCCGGGTGGCAGTATACGCCGTGAAGTTGTTTGCGGCCTGCCAGTAAACCCAAAGCAGAAGAAGACGAAGTGATGTCAGCAGCTCATTTGCGTAATCTTCCCTCAGGGAAAAGTACTCCGGTCGGTGTGAACGCGATCTGTACTAAATGCCCTGGGGTAATAAGTGCCGGGGCACTGAGTGCCGGCACTAAATACGGCAAAGTACTTGGTGTGAACGCGCCTAATGAGAACCCCAGAAAAACAACATCAGCCGTTAGCTGTTAGCACTCAGAGCTCACAGCTCCTCATATCTGTTCAGAAACTAGACACAAGTTAAACAAGTACACACCACAGACTGTCTGTGTCATGGCGAGTACAGTCGCTGGTTTATTTATGTCTGTATAGGCCGTTGTTGTGAGTGTGGATGGTCGGAGCATATACTGCGTTAGCTTAGCCAATCTCCATCTAGAAAACACGCATTTTAAAAGGTGTTTCGCCTGCGTCTGTCTGCAGACTTGTCAAAGCATTAATTCATGGTTTTTACTAACCGGTATCAGTATGTTGTTACTTCGGCATCATTTTGAAATGTGTATTACAATTAAATCATGGTCAAATATGTTCATTTTGTTGTAGTTGTAGCCCCCTTGCCAGCGATTCTCTCTCTAGTTTAGCATACTCAGCCCGACTCACCCTGGTTGTTGGCCCGGAAAGAACCTCGATTTTATGGAGCCAGAAAAACTGTGAAATAGTACCCGCTAGCCGGTACCACGCTAAGTGGAAATGCAACCAAAAACGGGCCCCGCACGGCTCGGCACGCTTAAAGCGAGCTCTGCGCTGTAGTGGAAATGCGCCTTAAGTTATCTCAGTGGGTTTCAAAGGGAATGGTCATACACAGGGGTTAAATTGTGCCGGGGCTGTCCGGGGCTAAGCCCCGGCACATAGGACGATGCTCTGACGTCATCACCCTCGCACATTTGTATAAAAAAAACTATATGTCAAAACTTTTGTCGTTCTTAATATAGACTATATTTAGGGTCGATATGTGTTGATTTTACTTTAAAATAGCAGATCTCAGTGACCGGATATAGTTTTTCGGCTTAGTGAACGTGTCTCTGCTCCGATCAGGAGCTGCAGCCCGCAGCAGCGCCCCCGCCCCCCCCCCCTCCACACAGAGCCCCCCCACATATGCATTACTAAAAACAAAGAATGCAGACTAGGTAAGATACAGATAGGAGAGAGGAGTTTATAAAATATGTGTTATTGGTTGTGAGCATATTCTAATGGTTTTTTGATTATTGAAATAGCTATACAGTTCTGTTTCATGAGTGTTGAGAGCTGTATCCATACATCGGGAAAATGTTTAATTACGGAGGACCCCCTGTTTTGTGTCCCCCCCACTTCTCAAACCAAAGTTACACCCTTGGACACACAGCTGCTGCCCAGCCGCAGCTGTGTGTCCAAGGGTGTAACTTTCGTCAACGATAATGCATGTTCATTTCGTTACAGTTATTGTTTACTGCCGTCGGTGCCGTCTCGTCATTGTCTCGTTTTAGTCATGGAAAAAAAGGTCGTTGACGAATATATTTTGTCATAGTTTTAGTCAACGAAATTAACACTACACAGATGCCTATTTATATATTTATTTATTTAATTATGAATTTTGAATGTCCATGTTTGTACTAGTGTTTTCCTTCTTAAAATGTTTTTGAAATATTTTGAGATTTGGTTGAGCAGGGTGTACTTGTACTTTTTACTAGTCCTTTTATTAGAGATGTGTCTGTTGTTTGTGTTCTTAGTGTCAGGATGGATCCCTTGTCTTTTCCTCTGCAAACAAAATCTACCTACGGGTACAAATAAATAACCTGAATTAAAGGTACAAATAAATAACCTGAATTAAAGGTACAAATAAATAACCTGAATTAAACCTGAATTAAACCTGAATTAATAAGAAATGAGAATGTTTATTTAGTATAGCACTTTTCATAGCACAAGATCACAAAGTGCTTGACAGGAATACAAATGATTCAAATAAGATCATAAAAATAGTTTTAAAAGAAAAGAAAACAACCTTAAAAACACACAAACACTAAAAACCACTAAACAAATATATGTTTACGATCTCTGTTTTTTTTATAGAGTGATCCAAATGCATGTTGATGCCGTCTACTTGGTTCCAAAGATGGTGCGCATTGTCTCCTGTGTATAAAAGAAAGACACACATGAACTAAAATATACAATACTATATTTCTGATGAATGTATAATGTGTAAACGTACTCCCTCAGAGTCAGTGTCCTCTCTCAGGTAGGAGACTTTATGTCTGCTGTAAAGATCTTTTTTCCTCAGGCACGTCAACAGAAACCAGTCAGCAACCAGAGGAACCTGCAGGAGAAACTCACTCTATCATCGAGTCAAACAAGAGAAATGTAATATCAAATGAAGGAGTACTTACCAAACTGAGGAAGGTCAACGCTGCACCCAAGTTCACTACAGTGGGGACTACTCCAAACTTTCCTGCCTGCAAGAGAAATAATACATGATGAATGATAAATACAAGTAAATAGTAAATACATAATAAATTATAAATAATAAATAATAAAAAAAAAAAAAAAAAAGATAGTAAATAGTAAATAGTAAATAATAAATAATAAATAATAAATAATAAATAATAAATAATAAATAATAAATAGTCAATAATAAATAATAATAAATAATACATAATAAATAAATGATAAATAATAAATAATAAATAATAAATAATAAACAATAGTAAATAGTACATAATAACTAATAAATGATAAATAATAATAAATATTAAATAATAAATAATAATAAATAATAAATAGTAAATAATAACTAATAAATGATAAATAAATGATAAATAATACATAATAATAAATAACAAATAGTCAATAATGAATAATAAATGATAAATAATACATAATAAATAATAAATAATAAAAAATAGTAAATAATAACTAATAAAGGATAAATAATAATAAATAATAATAAATAATAAATAGTAAATAATAAATAATAAATGATAAATAATAATAAATAATAATAAATAATAAATAATAATAAATAGTCAATAATAAATAATAAATGATAAATAATACATAATAAATAATAATAAATAATAAATAATAAATAATAAATAATCAATAATAAATACTACATAATACATAATACAAAATAAATAATATGAAATAAATAATAAATACTAAATAATATTTCATGTTTTGTTCTGGCCTCACAGTTCCAAATACGATGACATCAAACCGGATCCCGTAAGCTTTGAATAAGGTTCGAAATTCCTCTCCTCCTTGGTCCATGTAGTATTTAGCAAACCTATTAAA